TTTGTAAAGAAATAAGTATAATCTTTCTTTACAAAATAACTTTTGGAATAATTATATTTTCCTATTAAAATAATTAAAGATTTTATATGTATTGAAACAAATAACATACTACCATTTTATCTGGTAGCATGGTTTCTTATATCTACAGTGAAATTGTAAACACCATTTTTAATAGCTGCTCAAAGTTTGAAAGGTCACTCGAATCCACTTAATTTATGGAGTATTTTTCGTTGAAACATTTTATTTCTTCAAAAAAAAAATGCTACAACTACAAAAAGACAATTGGAAGAATGGACGTGGAACACACGCCCTATATAAACGAGCGTGGTAATTAGAAAGACAAAATAGAGAGCCAATAGGAAAATACAGAATTATAAACTGTACGAAGACGCTTCTTCGATCATTCGTTTATTTGTTTTATCATTTTGTTTTCGTCCTTTTCTGTTCTCAATGTACACATCTTCCTTAACCTGACTTTATTTCCGGTTTGGTTTTATTTCAGATTCGGTTTAACTCTCATTTCTGACGTCAACAAAAAAAAAAAAAAATTTCTCATTTCGGTTTACAATCCATTTCATTATTCCGGTTTGGCTCAATTCAGGGGACACAAGATTGAACCAAATTGAGATATATTTGATTTATGATTTATCAATAAATTATTTGACCCATTCAAACAATCCACGTGGCATATTTTGATCGTACTTGCTTAATTTAATATGATCCATTCATTGTTATAGCATGAAGTGGAGACACACGTATACACACACACGAGCACATGCTTGTAACTTTTTTATATGTGAAGTCGCGCTCTCTCTCTCTCTTATCCCAAATCGACAATTATTATTGTCAAATTGAAGAAGACATGTTTGTCTCATCTCTCAAGCTTATTACACATTATTTGGTATTAGACCAGTCACAGATAGACCAACAATTTTGGATAAAATTTAACATAATTTCATTCCACAATTACATTTTAGATATATCACACATTTATTTCAAGTGTTCAATTCGTTATTCGATGATTATCATTCGTCCTTGCATGAAGATCACACAAGACTACATGAGCACAAAACCAAAGCATTGCATTAAAACATTAAAGAAATCTAACCAAGAAGTGGTGGTGTTTACCTTAGTCATTGTAGACTCATTTAAATTCACATATTCTCATCTAGCTACCCACAATAGTAATACTAATGCTCAAAGATTCAACAACTAAATTTAACCAACGATAGTTTTAAGACACAAGATAACAAAAGTGAGTAGACTCATAATAAAGAACCCACACAAATACACAAAAACTCATTTTTATCACAAAGAACCCGAACAATGTATCGCTATTATCTTTATCCGTAGGATAAAAAGTTTCTACTAATATTAATATCATAAGATTCCAATGCTAATCCAAACAGTTATAAAGTTTGTCCAAATTTTTCCTAAACCTTTTTAAGTAAAAAAAAAAAATCAAATTCTCGTTAGTATTCTCTCATAATCTCTTTGCAATGCTATCGTGTATCCATTTCTAACTCAATGCAACATAGCCATATTAAAACTAATATAATATCATAATTTAGCTTCATAAAATTCAATATTAATTCATTTGTCTAACTCTCTTTGACATAAAATCAAAATACTCATTCCCGTCATTTACGTTATCTATTGATTCCTATTTGAAATTTTGTACGAAAATTTCACTATCACATTTCTATATAAGAGAGTCGATCTTTGTTTCAATTTACTTGATAAAGCTACCACTTCAACATTCAAAGACATCGTAAGGACTTTCAAATAGATGAGGACTTCAACAAAGGATACTCAAGTATCATAAACCAAATATCTTCAAGATGTTTGAGAAGTTCTCAATATATTATTCTTAAAATATATTTTATTTGCCGCATCTGTTCGAATCATAAAATTAAAAGATTTAAATCTGATAGAATAAAAGATAAAAAAAAATATAATCTTTTATTACAAAAAATCTCACCGTTTAATCTGTTCTGCATCTAAACTTCAAGCAAAGGTATAGAGATCTTACGGTTAGGGTTGGGTTTCGTCATGGCTGAGAAAGAAATGTTGTCAGCAGAGAGAGAAGAAGGGAAATCTGGGGACTTCAACAAAGGATACTCAAGTATCATAAACCAAATATCTTCAAGATGTTTGAGAAGTTCTCAATATATTATTCTTAACAGCTGCAGCGAAAAAACACACGCATGCAAGACTTAATCATTGATAATAAAAAAATATTTGTTTTTGATGTGACAGGTGAGAATGAAAAACGAAATAGTGCCAATATGGGATGTAGAAAACAAGAGGCTTGACCGTGTTAATCGACTTATGGTTTTAAGACGAAATATCTTGCGATCGTTCAACGCTTTAACCCAAATTACACGTTGCCGTCGAAGATTATATATTGCTTGTGGGTATGATCTAGATGCAGACACTCTCGAAGGAAGACTCTGGAACCGCTATGATAAAGACGTTGAACCGCGGCGATGACGTGTATTTCGTATGCATTGCAATGAATGTGGTAGCGGGATATTTGGATATGTTGATCTTTCTCCACATGAAAGATTTACGGATACAGCCGATCGGTTAATAATTAACGAACTCCAGCAGGTAACCTTAGTTTTCATCCTCCAATACCAATTCTAGTCGTAACTGGGGACATTAATTTCCTTGAATCGTTAAGTGTTCTAAAACAAAACGGGTTTGCAATTCTTCTTGCCATTGATGAGTCCTCAAATCTACAAGATCATCCCGAGTGTTTCAACGCTATCTGGATGTGGGACGCGATGCACTGCTTAATTTGAAAAAAAAAAGAGTAATTGGTTAGATATTTAGTTATTGTTTAACTAACCAAAATTGGTATATATGGCAAAATCTTGGTTAGTTAAACAATAACTAAATATCTAACCAATTATCTTTTTTTTTCAAATCAAGCAATGCATCGCGTCCCACATCCAGAATTGGTATATGTGGCAAAATCTTGACCCTTAGATTTAGAGTAGTTTGTTAGATATTTAGTCATTGTTTTTTCTTGGTCATTAGTTATTACACACAATTTCCCTTTTATTATTATATGAACTATTTTCAAATCGAACAGTCTGTACTTTGGTTTACTCCGTAATTGGTATATCCAAACCAAACCAACCCGGGGAAAAAATGATTGATCATTTAACAAAATTACAGAGAATGCTACAGGCTTTGCATGAAACCAAGAATGTGTAAAAGAGTTTTGTCTTTTAAAAGAAATCTACCATACATTATAAACCGATCATAAAGTGTCGGTCTTACGTCGTCTTCCTACCTTGAACTCGAACCATTCGGGCATACGGAACCCATTTCTGTTTACATCCTATTTCATTATTCCGGTTTGGCTCGATTAAATGGACACAAGATTGAACCAAATTGATATATATTTGATTTATCAATAAATCATTTAACCCATTCAAATACTCCACGTGGCACATTTTGATAATACTTGCTTAATTTAATGTGATCCATTCATTGTTATAGTATGAAGTGGAGACACACGTACACACACACGAGCACATGCTTGTAACTTTTTTATATGTGAAGTCTCTCTCTCTCTCTCATCCCAAATCGACAATTATCATTGTGAGATTGATGAAGACATATTCATTTGGTATAGACCAATGATTTTGGATAAATCATGTACATGATTTCAAACCGCAACGTATATTCACATTAATTTTTAATAAAGTATTTTTTTTACTGGAATTTAATATCAAAATTGGATGAGATTACAACCGCAAAAACTATCCCCGGAAAATAGGGAATTTCAGGTATTTCTAGGTCATACGAGCCACGGAGCTAGTTAGCTTATAATTTAAGAAGAAACATAATTAATAAACAAGTTTTATTATTCAATACATTTCAGTATAATTTTAAATTTTTATATAATACTTGCAAATCTAGACAAAGATACAATTTGTAGCTGTATGCGCAACAGCATAACTTGAGATTACAAACAATTTTTCACATTTTCTTCGAAAAAATAGATTGAAAGTCCGAGTTTATGGAACTTTTTTTATAATCAGAAGTATGCCTATTTGGCTTACGTTCAAGTTACTGTACCTGGATCCATATTTCGCTTTAAATTTCGGGCTAAAACAATACGTAATCGAAAACGTATTACGATTTAGCAGAAACAATTAGTTAATAATTATACCGTCTGTCTAGACATAGATTTGATTAATATAAGATTTTTTAGACACTGGAGCTGGTTAAACAGTTTAATACTTATAACAAACGAACAATGTCAGACCAAAAGACAAGAGTAGAGGTAGCATCAGATACATATTTCCGATTGTAAAATTTCCCAAAAGTTAAAAGCTCAAACAGCCACAAGCTTTAACTTTTAAGGCAACCAAGACTCAAGAACATGCTGATGATGTAGAAGCTTCCCCATCACCCTTGGGAGTTTTCCGGTTGATGAACATTTTAATCTTTCCGCGCTGATGCATGCATGAAGGAACCACCACACGATGTTGTTTCGGTGGTTCATCTCTCACTTTACAAACTCTCTTGACACTTGACTTAAAACACAATTCATCTTTGTCACATGAATCCGCAGTCAAGATGTAAGAGAACTCTCCTAATCCTGGGATCTTAGGAGCAATACAGCTAACGGAGTATATTTCACCATCTGTCGAGCTGAAACAATCCACAACCACAAGTTCTCCTCCCTCCTTAGTACGTTCCTTAAGAACTAGCCTGTCACCAGCACTAAGGCTAAGGTATATGAGCTTTCCACATTCAAACCTGTCCAATACACTATAACGATATTCGTATCCGTGGCTGTGTTTAGCAACGGTGTGTTCATATACATCTTTGTACGAGCCAGCGAAGCCGCAACATCTAAAAGGGCAGGTACATTGGGTGAAAGCGCACCGGTTCAAATGTAATGATCTTTCATCGTAATTGACTTCCTCGGAGCAGCCAAATTCTGCATTTGGACATGGAACCTTAAGTAGTTCAAGAACCCGCTCCATACCTCTGTTGCGGATAATAGTTGGGAAAGTGCATGTTGCACATCTCTTCCTTAACTTTTCACAGCAAGTAGAGCATGCCATATGACCATTATCACACTGAAATGCCAGAAATAGTTGTATGTTCAATAAAAATACCAACAAAATCAGTAGCACGTATCTCTGCAAGGCCTATACAAGAGTTTCTTCTTTGAAGAATTGGTCATTTTAAAAGAAATTCATCAGAAATCCCTCAGAATCAACAGAACCTAGAAAAATCCTAACACATGACATCAAGTAAATTACCAAAATTCCATAATATTTCTTCCGTTGTTATGCAATATATATCCTCTTCCTAAATCTCTAAATCATCAATCAACAATGCAACATTCCAAAGTATCGAATTCTACTAAGACATTATGATATATAAACGGAGATTTAGTTCGATAGTGAGACCTGTAAGACAGGGATGGTCAGTGTATCGAAGCAAACGGAGCAGTCGATAACATCCAGATCCGTCAGTGTCCCCGTGCGTTGTCTCTTTCGTGAGCTTTTTCTGCTCGATCCATTTCCGTCATCTGCCATTTTCGAGAAAATAAAAACTCAGGTGGCTGCAGAGAAGTGAGGGTTTGGATGGAAGAAGTTGGTAAAAAGAAAAAAACTTCATGAATATATATAATATATATTTGTGTTGTGGGCCTTTGGGCCATTTGACTTCTTTAATACAGTAAAATTGTTTGGATTTGGTCCACTTTTATTATCTTTTTTTTTTCTCTATTAGTGGTATTTTAAACTTTCGATTATGATTTTTTTTTTGCTATATACTTTCGATTTATGATTTAACAATTTTAATCGTTGATACTTGATAATGGAGGGTATTTTTTGAAGTTGGGAACATGGCCTATGAAAACTATGGAACATAATTACAAACCACAACTCACATTTAGATTTATCACACATTCGTTTTCAAGTGTCATTCATATTTTGATCGATTTCAGAAGCATAACTCAAGATTTTAAACAGTTTTATAAAAAAATTCTTAGGAAAACAGAGTTTGAATATCCGAATTTATGGAGAATAAAAAAATTGGTCAACCCGAGTTTATGGAAATTTATTTCATAATCTGAAGTAGGAAAATTCAACTACACATTAGTATTAACAAACAATAAAATATCCGTTAGGTTTACCTCTATGTACCAAAGGGATAGGTTTAGGTTTCTCTATTTGGATCAATTTCATTTGTGACCGGTTCATTCTTGTGTTGTGATTTCTACATACTAGAAAACAACAAACAGAAACAATTATACTGATGAGAAACAAAAGAAAATTTATATTGACATACCAATTAAAACAGAGT